TATAGTCTAGTCTATAGTCTAGTCTATAGTCTAGTCTATAGTCTAGTCTATAGTCTAGTCTATAGTCTAGTCTATAGTTTAGTCTATAGTCTAGTCCATAGTATAGTCTACAGTCTAGTCTGTTGTCTAGTCTATAGTCTAGTTACTAGACTAGAGCCTAGTCTATAGTTTAGTGACTAGACTAGAGTCTAGTCTAAAGTCTAGTCTAAAGTCTAGTATATAGTCTAGTCTATAGTATAGTCTATACTCTAGTTTATAGTCTAGTATATAGTCTAGTCTATAGTTTAGTCTATAGTCTAGTTTATAGTCTAGTTTATAGTCTAGTTTATAGTCTAGTCTATAGTTTAGTCTATAGTCTACTCTATAGTCTAATCAATAGTCTAGTCTATAGTCTAGTCTATAGTCTTGTCTATAGTCTAGTCTATAGTCTAGTCTATAGTCTAGTCTATAGTCTAGTCTATAGTCTAGTCTATAGTCTAGTCTATAGTCTAGTCTATAGTCTAGTCTATAGTCTAGTCTATAGTCCAGTCTATGGTCTAGTCTTAAGTCTAGAATGTAAAATATATTCTGGAATAAATTCTGAACTATACTATAGTCTTCATTATAGTCTAGTATATAATCTAGTCCATAGTCCCTATAATCTCTATAATCTAGTCTTCAGGGCAGTCATTCGTCTCATAAGAAAAGTGATTAGTTGTTAGCTTTTGCTTTCCTTTACAGCTTCTTATGGCCGTAATTTAAACAAAGAGATATCTATTGAAATTATGGGCATTAGTAAGTTATGTTATAAGTAGTTTCGAAGCAGTGGATCTAGTTTTCATTTTTTTTATTTAGATGGAGAGTGTATACGATTCGGCTTAGCCGAATCTTTCATTCTAATATGTTTTTCTTTAAATCTATTTTAATCTGAAATATATTATCTGGACGTTCGAAATAGTTTACTTTAAGATTGTGCCATAATATACAACTGATTTACACTAAAGAGCTAGAATTTCAAATACTTGTACCAAAAAATAATAATTTTTAAACAAAATTTTAGTGACTTATGTTTGCTCTTTACTGTTACAAAATATCAATTTTGTTAAAACCTCCACCAAGTAAAAGACACAAATTAAAGGGAACTCATTAAATTCCTTAGATATTTGCTAGAAAGTCAGTATTAGAAGGCAAGTAGCAGTTATATGACTGCAGTATTGCTGACATAGCGGTTATTTGTCTAGCTGACATTTGATTTAGAGATAAAATTGTTAAGTTACTGGTGGAGATTTTTTTTTTAAGTTCGTCTTTTTGGCCGAATATAATTTTGTTTTAAATTTTTTAAGTTTTTAAATTAGTATCATTTTTTATATTCAAAAGTATATAATTTTTTAAAGTTATTTTTACTTAATTACATCTAAAAGTTTCAGTTGTTTTTAGGAGTTTTCTTTTTGTTTGCTTTTAAAAATATTTTAAATATTTTTTTGTTTTATGTTTTTTTTTTTTAATGAAAATATTTTAAAAATTATTTAAAAATCATAATTAAATCCTTTGAGTTATAAAAATTTTAACCCCAGTTTCAAAATATATTTTTCTTGTTTTTACTATAATTTTTAAATAAATTTTTTATACAATTTCTTTTTTTTTCGTTTTAATAATGTTTTGGGTGGGGATTTTTTTTTATTTAAAGAAAAACTAAATAAATTAAATAAAAATAATTTTTTTATATAAATTTCTTGTTGTTTTACTTTGTATACCAGTTTATTTTGTTAAATATTTTTTTTTGTTTTATTAAATTTCTTTTTGTTATATTTAAAAATATTTATTTTTATTTTTTTGTTTCAATATAATTTATTATTATAAATTTTTTTTACTTTTGTTGAATTTGTTTTAAATTTATTTGTTTTTGTTTTTCTTGTATAATAAGGCAACTGCAATTTATTTTTTTATTTTATTTGTTTTTTGGTTTTTTGTATACTTGTAGTGATTTTGTTTTATTTTTTTTAAGTCGAAAATTTTTCTTTTCTTTCCTTAATTTTTTTTGTAAAAATTTTGTAAAATTTTACATTTTGTGCTTGGTTTTGTTTTTTTTTTATTTTGTTGTAGGTTTGGTTTTTCTTTTAAATTTTCTTTAAAATTCTTTTTTTTAATTTTAAACTGCATTGTTGTTTTGTTTTAATTTTTATTTGCTGCCGAAAGTTTTATTTTTATTTTTTTAAAATTCAAACAAAAGTTTTGTTAAAAATTTTCTTTTTTTTGACTCCTAAAAACAACGTAATATATTTATACTTAATAATTTTCTTAAATTTTTATTTAATAGCGAAAGTTTTCTTTTTTAAACATTATTAATAATATACATTTTTGTTAATTTTTTTAACTTAAAAATTTTTATATTTTTATCAAACAAACCAAATTCATTTTTAATATTTCAAAATTTATTTTAAAATTTTGCTGCCGAAAATTTAATGCAGTTTATTGCGAGTATATTTATAAATTTTTTATATAAAATTATAAAATGAAATTGATAACAAAAATGGGGAAGTGGAAAAGAAAATAAAAAATTAACTAAATTTCAAAAGAAAAAGCGTTACGACCCTATTATTTCATTCTATTCTTCTGCATCTACAAAGGCTAGTACATTTACTACAGAGAATACAAATAAAACTGTACTTGAATTAGCCTGAACTAGAACTGAAATAGAACTAAACTACAATCGCACTAGAACTAAGCTAGAACTGCACAAAAACTGAACAAGAACAGAACTAAAACTGAACTAAAATAGAACAGGACTAGAACAGAACTAAAACAGAACTAGAACAGAACTAGAACAGAACTAGAACAGAACTAGAATAGAACTAGAACAGAACTAGAACAGAACTAGAACAGAACTAGAACAGAACTAGAACAGAACTAGAATAGAACTAGAACAGAACTAGAACAGAACTAGAACAGAACTAGAACAGAACTAGAACAGAACTAGAACAGAACTAGAACAGAACTAGAACAGAACTAGAACAGAACAGAACTAGAACAGAACTAGAACAGAACTAGAACAGAACTAGAACAGAACTAGAACAGAACTAGAACAGAACTAGAACAGAACTAGAACAGAACTAGAACAGAACTAGAACAGAACTAGAACAGAACTAGAACAGAACTAGAACAGAACTAGAACAGAACTAGAACAGAACTAGAACAGAACTAGAACAGAACTAGAACAGAACTAGAACAGAACTAGAACAGAACTAGAACAGAACTAGAACAGAACTAGAACAGAACTAGAACAGAACTAGAACAGAACTAGAACAGAACTAGAACAGAACTAGAACAGAACTAGAACAGAACTAGAACAGAACTAGAACAGAACTAGAACAGAACTAGAACAGAACCAGAACAGAACTTAAACAGAAATAGAACACAACTAGAACAGAACCAGATCAGTACTAGAACAGAACTAGAACAGAACTAAACCTGAACTAGAAGAGAAATAGAACAGAAGTAGAACAGAACCAGAACAGAACTAAAATAGAACAACAACAGAACTAAACCTGAACTAGAACAGAAATAGAACAGAACTAGAACAGAACTAGAACAGAACTAGAACAGAACTAGAACAGAACTAGAACAGAACTAGAACAGAACTAGAACAGAACTAGAACAGAACAAGAACAGAACAAGAACAGAACTAGAACAGAACTTAAACAGAACTAGAACACAACTAGAACAGAACCAGAACAGTACTAGAACAGAACTAGAACTGAATTAGAACAAAACTAAACCTGAACTAGAAGAGAAATAGAACAGAAGAAGAACAGAACCAGAACAGAACTAAAATAGAACAACAACAGAACTAAACCTGAACTAGAACAGAAATAGAACAGAACTAGAACAGGACTAGAGCAGAACTAGAACAGAACTAGAACAGAACTAGAACAGAACTAGAACAGAACTAGAACAGAACTAAAACTAGAACAGAACTAGAACAGAACTAGAACAGAACTAGAACAGAACTAGAACAGAACTAGAACAGAACTAGAACAGAACTAGAACAGAACTAGAACAGTACTAGAACAGTAACAGTACTAGAACAGAACTAGAACAGAACTAGAACAGAACTAGAACAGAACTAGAACAGAACTAAACAGAACTAGAACAAAACTAGAACAAAACTAAAACAGAACTAAAACAGAACTAGAACAGAACTGGAACAGAACTAGAACTAATCTAGAACTAAACTATAATTGAACTAGAAGAGAACTAGGACTAAGTTAGAACTGGATTGGTACTGAAGTAGAATTGGACAAGAACTAAAACGGAACTGGTATTGAAATACAAGTGAGATTATGATAATTTGAGTAGTTGAGTAAGCGCTCTAGTCATTTGTCGTTTTGGGCATTTGCAGTGATGAACACGATGCAGAACAGACTTTGTTAAATTAACTCAGAAAGCGATGTGCGATCAATTGTATGTAAATGTAAATGTGTAGGGCTAACTTTTATATAATATATAAATATAAAAGTTGTTATATTATAAAATGTTAGTTTAAACTTTAAACTCTTTAATAGTTTAAAATAATGTTTGTATATTTTTAGAAATAAAAATAAAATGTTATGATGCAAAAATTGAGTTTCAAATTATATAAATGTTTCCTTTATTAAAAGAAATATTGTATTCAAGAAAAAAAAAATATAGAATTTACTAAATTATATTAAAAACAAACTTAATCAAACTTACTTCAAATAAAAAGTGTTATAACAAATAATATATGGGGAAAAACGTAGATTAAACTTAATAGAAACAAAAATGCTTTAGGGTAAGTGAAAGAAAAAAACAGGAAATTATTTTAACAAAAAAATTAAGAAATTTTTGAAGAGAACTTAAAAAGGAGCTCATATTTTCAAAACAATTTAAGATTAAAAACTTAAAATGTTATGAAAATGTTTAGCATACTTTTAAGGCTTTAAAGCAATCATAACTTTTAAAGCATAAAAGTAGGTTAAACATGATCCAATAACTTATGAGACCTTTTTTACTGCCCTTTTGAAAATCCTAACATTTTTAAACTGTTTATACAGAACGTTTCTTTTTTTTTTTTTTTTTTGTTTTTCTTAATTTAAAATAAAAATTTGCTGAAATATTTACTGAATTATGCTGCTATTTGTTGGTTGTCTTAAAATTGTATCATTATGGTTTTTTTCTTTATTTTATATAATTTTTTTTGTTAAATTTTAAAATTCTTTTTTTTTAATGAATTAAACCTTAAAAAATTCTTATGAATTTAGTTTTAGGTGTATTTTTGCAAAGAAAGGGAACAAAAAGAAAGTCAAAGAGTTTAATGGAATTTACGTTTTTTACTACCTTTCTTTTTGCCCTTACCACCCTTAGCTTTGCGTTTTTTGCTCGAGCTACCTAAAGAGTCACCGCGTAGTGAGGCATCACGATTAATTTCACCCAAAATTTCATCGCCCAAAGTGCCTAAAAGGAAAAATTTTTGGGTTTTTATAGATTTTTAAAGAGCGTCTTATTTTCTAGGGTGTGTAGTTTGTGTAGGGTGCCATAATGTTTCGAATGCAGGTGATAAAGCTTTTGTATGTAAAGCTTTTTCTAGATTGAAATGTTAGTGTTTCGAGAGGTGAAAAGTGTTCTAAAACTTACCCAAAGTAGTGAGTTTACGTTGACGATGTTTTTCCGCTTTGGTTACGGGTAGACGTGTTAGGTAGGTTTCTTCATATTCCTGTTTTTCCTTTTGGGCCTTGGACAATATTTGTTGGGCCCTAGAGCCTGAAGAGATTTCTGTGGGAGCGTCTAAATATTCTTCTTTCAAATCTTGCAACATGGACGAACTATAAATAAAATATAATTGTCACAAAAATAGTCAAATAAAATAGATCTAAACTAAACACAAACACACAAGAACTAAACTAGCACTGAACTAGAACTGAACTAGAACTGAACTAGAACTGAACTAGAACTAACTAGAAACTAGAACTGAACTAGAACTGAACTAGAACTGAAAACTGAACTGAACTGAACTGAACTAGAACTGAACTAGAACTGAACTAGAACTGAACTAGAACTGAACTAGAACTGAACTAGAAGTGAACTAGAAGTGAACTAGAAGTGAACTAGAAGTGAACTAGAAGTGAACTAGAAGTGAACTAGAACTGAACTAGAACTGAACTAGAACTGAACTAGAACTGAACTATCTGAACTAGAACTGAACTAGAACTGAACTAGAAAGAACTAGAACTGAACTAGAACTGAACTAGAACTGAACTAGAACTGAACTAGAACTGAACTAGAACTGAACTAGAACTGAACTAGAACTGACTAGAACTGAACTAGAACTGAACTAGAACTGAACTAGAACTGAACTAGAACTGAACTAGAACTGAACTAGAACTGAACTAGAACTGAACTAGAACTGAACTAGAACTGAACTAGAACTGAACTAGAACTGAACTAGAACTGAACTAGACTGAACTAGAACTGAACTAGAACTGAACTAGAACTGAACTAGAACTGAACTAGAACTGAACTAGAACTGAACTAGAACTGAACTAGAACTAGAACTGAACTAGAACTGAACTAGAACTGAACTAGAACTGAACTAGAACTGAACTAGAACTGAACTAGAACTGAACTAGAACTGAACTAGAACTGAACTAGAACTGAACTAGAACTGAACTAGAACTGAACTAGAACTGAACTAGAACTGAACTAGAACTGAAGTAGAACTGAACTAGAACTGAACTAGAACTGAACTAGAACTGAACTAGAACTGAACTAGAACTGAACTAGAACTGAACTAGAACTGAACTAGAACTGAACTAGAACTGAACTAGAACTGAACTAGAACTGAACTAGAACTGAACTAGAACTGAACTAGAACTGAACTAGAACTGAACTAGAACTGAACTAGAACTGAACTAGAACTGAACTAGAACTGAACTAGAACGAAAGAGAACTGAACTAGAACTGAACTAGAACTAACTAGAACTGAAGTAGAATGAACTAGAACTGAACTAGAAGAATTAGAACTGAACTAGAACTGAACTAGAACTGAACTAGAACTGAACTAGAACTGAACTAGAACTGAACTAGAACTGAAACTAGAACTGAACTAGAACTGAACTAAAACTGAACTAGAACTGAACTTGACGTGAATAGTAAATAAACTTACGTTATGGCACGTTTTTTGGCTCTTTCAATAATTTTTTCTCCTTATCCTCTGCCTTGTCATCGCCATCATAGTAGACCGGCTTAATCTTGGGCGGCACATAAATACCCGGTTTACCTGCTGTGGCAGCCTTTTTGGGTTCTTAACACCCTTTTCCTCATCATCTTCATCCTCTTCTTCTTCGGATTCTTCCTCCGAATCCTCTTCATCTTCATCATTATCATTAGTTAACATATTTTCAGGATTGGGCTAAAAAAAAACAACACAAAACATTAACTTTCAAAACATTTTTAATTCCCCCTTTTCTGTTACCTTATATAATATAGGATCCGAGGCTGATGAAACACCCGTTGTAGCGGTCTTTACCAATTTATCTATTTGATAGCGCAATTTATAATCGATTGGTCGTATTTTTTCCAGCACTGTACGTATTTCTATTAAACGTTCTATTGATGGATCACCTTCAATTGTTTCGCCGGAACATTTACGCAATACCACATAGGTCAAATTGATAAGGTAGTCGAGCAGCATGTGATATTTAACTTCCAAAAAACTTAAACCATATTCTGTGGTCAATTCGCCGCGTTTAACACGTTGCAACATGCCCTCGACAAGGTCTGTTACTTGTTTGACATTACTGTTCATTTCGCCCAGCAGTTGTATGGCCTGCGGTATGTCCTGTTGTTCTTGTACCTCACAGTCGTAATCGAGTGCCTGGAAAGAATGAAAAATTTTCAATATTGATAAAAGAATTAATTAAAATTTAAATAGGATTATATATTATAATTTAAAAAATTACTTTATTATCAAATTCTATGAATAATTTCCTAATTATTTTTTAAATAAATTGTTTAAAAAATTAATTAATTTTAAAACAAATGCTATTATGTAATAGGAAAAAAAAAATATCCTTTTACAATAATTTGTGTATAAATTAATGAAAAACTAACAGGTCAGCCACATAAAATAAAATATTTGAATTTAAATAGAATTAAAAAATATATCTCCAAACAGTGGGACAATTAAAATTGCATACAAATATGAACTTAAACCAAACCATGATAAGAAATACAACTAAACAACAACTGAACTAGAACAGATCTAGAACAGAACTAGAACCAAACTAGAACAAGAATTGAACTAGAACAGAACTCGAACAGAACTAGAACAGAACTAGAACAGAACTCGAACAGAACTAGAACAGAACTGGAACAGAACTGGAACAGAACTAGAACAGAACTAGAACAAAACTAGAACAGAACTAGAACAGAACTAGAACAGAACTAGAACAGAACTAGAACAGAACAGAACTAGAACAGAACTAGAACAGAACTAGAACAGAACTAGAACAGAACTAGAACAGAACTAGAACAGAACTAGAACAGAACTAGAACTGAACTAGAACTGAACTAGAACTGAACTAGAACTGAACTAGAACTGAACTAGAACTGAACTAGAACTGAACTAGAATTGAACTAGAACTGAACTAGAACTGAACTAGAACAGAACTAGAACTGAACTAGAACTGAACTAGAACTGAACTAGAACTGAACTAGAACTGAACTAGAACTGAACTAGAACTGAACTAGAACTGAACTAGAACTGAACTAGAACTGAACTAGAACTGAACTAGAACTGAACTAGAACTGAACTAGAACTGAACTAGAACTGAAACTACAACTGAACTAGAACTGAACTAGAACTGAACTAGAACTGAACTAGAACTGAACTAGAACTGAACTAGAACTGAACTAGAACTGAACTAGAACTGAACTAGAACTGAACTAGAACTGAACTAGAACTGAACTAGAACTGAACTAGAACTGAACTAGAACTGAACTAGAACTGAACTAGAACTGAACTAGAACTGAACTAGAACTGAACTAGAACTGAACTAGAACTGAACTAGAACTGAACTAGAACTGAACTAGAACTGAACTAGAACTGAACTAGAACTGAACTGAACTAGAACTGAACTAGAACTGAACTAGAACTGAACTAGAACTGAACTAGAACTGAACTAGAACTGAACTAGAACTGAACTAGAACTGAACTAGAACTGAACTAGAACTGAACTAGAACTGAACTAGAACTGAACTAGAACTGAACTAGAACTGAACTAGAACTGAACTAGAACTGAACTAGAACTGAACTAGAACTGAACTAGAACTGAACTAGAACTGAACTAGAACTGAACTAGAACTGAACTAGAACTGAACTAGAACTAGACTGAACTAGAACTGAACTAGAACTGAACTAGAACTGAACTAGAACTGAACTAGAACTGAACTAGAACTGAACTAGAACTTAACTAGAACAGAACTAGAACGGAATTGAAACTTACTAGTTTAGAAATTTTTGTGCACCTTATTTTATGTCTCCCGGTATGGTTAACAATAAAATAAATTATTTATGCATGAAAATTGCATAATAAATTTCCAAAACGCAAAAAAAAGAATAATTCAGTAAATTATAAACAAATATGGTAAAAACCCAATAATACCCCTGGTGGGCAATAAAATTTTATAAAACTAAAAAAAAATCAAGTGAAACCACAAATACACAGATATTAATGCATAAAAATTCTTTCAAAAAAAATTAAAAATAGAAGAAATTTAAAGCATATACCACAGGGGCAAATGAATGTCATAAACAAAAACACACAAGCATATTTTTAAACATATAGTGAGAGTGTGTGTGAATGTACGGGCATAACCATAATAATTTAACAATAATTTTAATTATAATAACAACTACAACAACATACCATTTGACAAATATAAAATATGTTTTTATCGTTTTTAAATATTTTATTATTACTGTACATGATTTTTATATTTTTTGATGATGCATATGTATGTATGTGTACATTTTCAACCACAAAAACCACCATGAATGTAAAATTTTATGCAGGAAGGATATAGAAAAAAATTTATTTAATTTCATTTGTTTTTTTCATTTTGTAATTTTGCATAAAATACCAAAACGACTAAAAACTATGCAGTTAAATAGACAGCAACAATAACAAATGTTGCTAAATGTTATTAATATTTATTGAAAAATTAATTTAAAATTTTTTTCTCGTATCTACAAAGTTTTTACCATTGTGAAATGCGTTTTTAATTAGAAACCATAATTAAAAAAAAAAAAAAATAATAAATAAACGAAAAAAAAAGTATTTATAATATTTAAATAGATATTGTATTATAATAAAATGTTAGAAAAAAATCTGCGAAAAAAAAACTTATTATCGGTGAAACAATTTTAAGCATGTTTTGTCTGCATTTTTAAGTACTTTGTGACAGGCAAAATGGGAAAAAAACGGAAGTAAGAGTAATGGAAACAAATGATTTGTGTTAATTTTATATAAAAAAAATTTTGGATTTTTTTAAATAGGCATTTATGTCAAAATAAATAATTTATAACAAAGGCTTGATTAAGAGCCAGTTTATGGTTAAACCACAAAATAAATAGCATTTATTTGTAAAAATTTTTTTGTAGCTTTTTAAATTGCCACACCCAGGGAATTTAATAATTTTATTAAAATTTCTTTAAATATTTTCTCAAATAGAAAAATATCTAAAATTTATATTTTAATTCGTTTACAGAGAAAACTAATAGAAAATCAAAACATTATTGAACTAAAACTGAAACAACGAAGGAAGCAGATCTAAACGTATTGATAGACTTTCGCTTAAAATAGTATTTCCAATACAAAAAGGTTTTAGTGTGTAATTAAACATTTAAATTTCTGATGTAGATCAGAACTAGAAGAAACTAAAACAGAACTAGAAAATAATTCGAACATCCCTAGAACAGAATTCCAAAAAACAAGAACAGAACTAGTAAAGAACTAGAACAAAACTAGAACAGAACTAGAACAGAACTTGAACGGAACTAGAACAGAACTAGAACAGAACTAGAACTAAACTAGAACTGAACTAGAACTGAACTAGAACTGAACTAGAACTGAACTAGAACTGAACTAGAACTGAACTAGAACTGAACTAGAACTGAACTAGAACTGAACTAGAACTGAACTAGAACTGAACTAGAACTGAACTAGAACTGAACTAGAACTGAACTAGAACTGAACTAGAACTGAACTAGAACTGAACTAGAACTGAACTAGAACTGAACTAGAATACTAGAACTGAACTAGAACTGAACTAGAACTGAACTAGAACTGAACTAGAACTGAACTAGAACTGAACTAGAACTGAACTAGACTGAACTAGAACTGAACTAGAACTGAACTAGAACTGAACTAGAACTGAACTAGAACTGAACTAGAACTGAACTAGAACTGAACTAGAACTGAACTAGAACTGAACTAGAACTGAACTAGAACTGAACTAGAACTGAACTAGAACTGAACTAGAACTGAACTAGAACTGAACTAGAACTGAAGTAAAACTGAACTAGAACTGAACTAGAACTGAAGTAGAACTGAACTAGAACTGAACTAGAACTGAACTAGAACTGAACTAGAACTGAACTAGAACTGAACTAGAACTGAACTAGAACTGAACTAGAACTGAACTAGAACTGAACTAGAACTGAACTAGAACTGAACTAGAACTGAACTAGAACTGAACTAGAACTGAACTAGAACTGAACTAGAACTGAACTACTGAACTAGAACTGAACTAGAACTGAACTAGAACTGAACTAGAACTGAACTAGAACTGAACTAGAACTGAACTAGAACTGAACTAGAACTGAACTAGAACTGAACTAGAACTGAACTAGAACTGAACTAGCACTGAACTAGAACTGAACTAGAACTGAACTAGAACTGAACTAGAACTGAACTAGAACTGAACTAGAACTGAACTAGAACTGAACTAGAACTGAACTAGAACTGAACTAGAACTGAACTAGAACTGAACTAGAACTGAACTAGAACTGAACTAGAACTGAACTAGAACTGAACTAGAACTGAACTAGAACTGAACTAGAACTGAACTAGAACTGAACTAGAACTGAACTAGAACTGAACTAGAACTGAACTAGAACTGAACTAGAACTGAACTAGAACTGAACTAGAACTGAACTAGAACTGAACTAGAACTGAACTAGAACTGAACTAGAACTGAACTAGAACTGAACTAGAACTGAAGTAAACTGAACTAGAACTGAACTAGAACTGAAGTAAACTGAACTAGAACTAGAACTGAAGTAAACTGAACTAGAACTGAACTAGAACTGAACTAGAACTGAACTAGAACTGAACTAGAACTGAACTAGAACTGAACTAGCACTGAACTAGAACTGAACTAGAACTGAACTAGAACTGAACTAGAACTGAACTAGAACTGAACTAGAACTGAACTAGAACTGAACTAAAACTGAACTAGAACTGAACTAGAACTGAACTAGAACTGAACTAGAACTAAACTAGAACTGAACTAAAACTGAACTAGAACTGAACTAAAACTGAACTAAACTAGAACTGAACTAGAACTGATATAGAATTGAAGTAGAACAGAACTAGAACAGAGCTAATACTAGAAGAGAAATAAAAACAGAATTAAAACAAAACTAGTACTGAACTATAGTTGAACTAGAAGTGAACTAGAATTGAACTAGAACTGAACTAGGATTGATCTTGAACTGAACTAGAACTGAACAAGAACTGAATTAGAACAGAACTAGAACTAAAGTTTTTTACTGAAAATTTAAATTGGAATAACAAAGATTATATTTCTATT